TAGATCCCACTCATGGTGCCCCATGTGTATCAGAGTAGAACTGTGCCCTGCAGGGTTCTCAGTGGGTGATTTTTCATAAGTAGGTGTTGGTAAAAAGGAAGTACATTAACTATACCATCATGGGCTCCTCTTTCATTTATCAACATCTGCAAAACCCCTCCCATTTCCTTCATGCCAGATACTCCTTGAGGCAAAAGCTGTTTCCCAAGATTCCACAGGTGAAAAGTTTGCTCACTCCACACACAGAGGTGAGCGGGGGTCCTAACCCTGAGGTGGAGCTGGGGGTAGCTGGCTTGGATTCTGTGTGGGGAAAGAGTCTCCCGCATGCTGAGACCTCATCTGTTGTGTGAGTGTGTGTTTGTGTGAATGTGGATGTGCGCATGTGTGCAGGTGAGGGGCAAAGGAAGAAACAGAGGAAGTTTATCTACCTTCCACAGAGCCTGCTCCCCGCCTCACACACACACATATTTCCTAATTCTGCATTAGAAACTCCCAGCAAAAGTGCAGATCATTCCAAACTGATTCTACCTATCTCTCACCTATTTATCTAGCCATTTATCTGTTCATCTATCAATCAATCCATTCATCTAGCCGTCTATCAATCCTATCTACCTATCATCCATCTATCTGTCCATCAATTGTATCTATCGTCTATTTATCCCGCCTTCTATCCATCCATCCATCCTATCTGTCAATCAATCCATTCATCAATTCTATCTATCTAGCATCTATCTACCCCTGGATCTATGTATGTATCAACCTATATATCAATCTATTATCTATCTGTCCATGTATCTATCTATTCCTGATTCTATCCAACTATCTGTGTGTCCATCTATCTACGTGCGTTATGATTGTTAAGTGCCGTGGTGACTCATAGTAACCCTGTGCAGGGTTTCCAAGGAATGATTGGTGGGTCTCCTTTTGACCTTTTGGTTGGTAGCCCAGTGCTTATTCTACAACACTACACCAGGATTCCATCTAGGTATCTGGCTATTACTTATCTATCCATGTGTCGGTCTAAATACCCCTCCATCTAAGTATCTATCTGTCTGTTACTTATCCATCCATGTATCTGTCTAAATA